ACACCTGTGTAGTCACCAGCCAGGCCCCAGAAGCCACATCTTCTGTATCCCCTAACACATGAACCATTAGCACAACCTGTCTTCCTCTACTTTTCCTTAGACATTTCCCTTCCCCTCTATCCCCATGGCCTCATAATACTGAGCCTCATCATTTTTCCTACCCTATTGCAAAAGCCTTCTAATTAATTCTCCAACATTTCTTCTGCATCTCTGATATAGTCTCTCCTGACATAGTGTGAATTCTAAATTGCACATGGAGTCATAGTGTTTCTGTGTACAAGTTCCCTACTTCTTCCTGATTATCCAGAATGGTTGCCCTCATTTCCATGTCATTCACATCTCCGTGGGATCTTGCTGTTCTCGATCTCATCCCTGGCAACTGATCTTCATCCCTCATATTGTGGCTAGCAGAAACGTTCCTGAAATTGCCTATGCACACTAAACTCTCCTCTTATCCCTGAGCCTATACACAATGTTCTTCCCTCTGTCTTGAGTTCTTTCCCTCTGTATTGAGTTCTTTTCCCTCTGTATCAACTTGATGAACTCCTGCTCACTCTTCAAGTCCAGCGCCCATTCCACTAGGAGCCTTCCCTGAGGCCCAGCACTCATGCCCTCCCCATCTGGGCTTTCATAGCCCATTTCCAGGTGCCTAAGTCAGATTCCATCACTGCATTGTGAGTCTCTTCCTCTTTGTCATCCTCACCACACTGTAGCCTCCTGGTGGGCAGAAGTAGGTGTCTAGTGTGTTTCTGTGATTCCTGTCCTCAGACAGCACTTTGCCCTTCCACCTGGTTTTCTACGTTGGTTCAGTGTACATGGAAAAAGTTCCCACATATATGCCCCTCTCCAGCAGGATACCCTGCTGTAGGTGGATGGAAGGGCCTTGGAGAGACCTTGAAGCAGCAGCAGTAAACAGATGACCAACTGCTTGTTACTCTGAGTGGCAGAGGCTTTGGTGAGGCAACAGTGGCAAATGAAGAGCTGGATGGAGAGTCTTGCCCAGTGTCTGATCTACTGGCCTCCCTGACAGCTGGGGAGACTCACCCTGGTTGATGCTGCTCCATGTCTGTTGATTTGCTCCCAGGTGCTCAGAAAAAATGCAGTGTTGCCCCTGCCACCCACATTCCAAAGGAAGGGTATTTTCCATATTAATTTAGTAAAAGTCTTTATATAAAGCAGCCACTGCCCCCTTCCCATTCATTTGTGCTTTTCAGAGCAAATGCCTCTGCAGAGCATAAATGGGGGCTTGTGAGGGTCATGGTTGTTGAGTGCAGAAGTAGATAAATCTGAATATTTTCCTTCCAAGGAGCAGAAATAGACATTAAGGGCCTTCCCTGGAGAATGGATGAGAGCTAGCAGAGCCCAGACATGCCCTGCAGTGTATCATTCCACTGCCTCCTCGAGGGCAGGGGTGTGTCTTGTTCCTCCCATAGAGCAACTGCCAGTGCATATTTGTGCAGGTGACCAGAGTCTGGGCGACAAAAAATGACCATTCATTATTTATTCATTCACTCATTTACTCCCTTAACAAATACTTGCTGCATTCTTTTAGGCATTTGAGAGGCAGAAAAACCAAGACGGGCAAGCTTCTGCTCTTATGGAGTTTATATTCCAGTGAAAGAAAATTAATAGAACAGAAGGAAACAGAGAAACAAATGAAATTATTTTAAAAACAGCACCAGGGCTCGGATGGCCTCCTAACAATGCTGGGCTCTGTCCTTTATTCCCACGAGGTCCACTACAGGGCTGGCAAGCCAGGGCCTCATGTCTGTCTGGTTAAAATAATGATGGCCCCAGGTGTCTATGCTGTAGCATCCTGATGAGATGGGCATATTCCTGCAGGTAGACTGCTCGGTCTCCCTCATGCCTAAATGAAAGTCTGACCAGGGTAGATTTGGCCTCTGCATAAATCTCCCTGGAGGAAGGTGCTAAGCCACTTTCCTACCCAACCAGGCATTGCTTCCTTGGCTTGGAGCCCTACTCTTGCAGGGAGTATTCATCCAGAATCTGGGCCCCCAGCAACATCTCCAGGAAGGAGGCCAGTTGAGACCACTAAACAAAAACATTACAAGGGGGAGCAGAGAGGGAAGCCAGAATAGAGAAAGAAAATCTGCCATCTCCTTCAGCAAAAGTCCTCAGTGAATGCAGTGGCAAGGCTCAGCACTATGGTCTCCCTGTCTGAGCTCCCTGCTCTTCCTCATTTTTCTTAATTACATACAGACAGGCTTTTTGAAGGCTCTCTGATCTGTTGCCACGGTTACTTCTGATGAATGCATTCTGTTTAAAGGGCTAAGGAAATTCAGTCGGTTTAAAGGATGGGAGAAGTGTTGAGCTGTGATTTTCTGTTTGGGTGAGAAGGGGGCATGGTGGGTCATAAGTTATGAGGATAGGTCTCCAGTGTCCTTCAGGATGTGCCTGAGAAGTCTGCATTGAGCATGGTTGTCACTGGGATCAGAATGAGTTAAACAGGATCCTTGTAGACCCACAGGGCCAGCCCAAGTGTTGCCATACCAAGATAGAATCTCTTGCTTCTTAATGTGATTTGGGCCAGATGATTTTTTAAAGAATGGTGAGACAGGGTGTGTGGGAGAGAGCGGGTGAGTTTATTTGTAGGCATTAAGCTGGAAATAAGAGCACTCCTGAGTAATCAAAGGGAAAATCTGCTGAAGACAGGTAAACCCCCAAAGCCAATTCCTTTATCAGGAATCTTAATAAGGCTAACCTTCTGGTCTCAGAATTTAGTAGTAAATTTCAGGCTGGTTCAAGGTGCCAAGAAGGTAGGGTCTAGCTCACTGTGCATTGCTGCAGCCAGAGTCTGCATCCTGGGATCCCTCCGCATTGGGAGCTGGTGAAGGTGGCAACCATGGTGGTTGTCTACAAGGTTGGAGCTATACCTGGGGAGAAACACTCCCCTGGAAAAACCCCACATTCAGGCTGGAACCATGCTCCTCTGCATCAGGTCAGAGATGGGGCCTTCTCTACTCTGTGAATGACCACTTAGAAATATGATAAAAGCAACAAAGCTTTCCCCCCCAGAAAAGTGAGCATGTGTTGGAACACATAATTTTTCAGACCCTGAGTGGGTTCTTAGTCCCCTGAAACCAACCGATGAACCTCCTAAGTTTTCACAGTGACCAAGTTAAAACATATTCTGTGGTTGATTGACCTTGAGAAAATGAACTTCTAAGTCTCTGTTTCCTTATCCGAAAGATGGTGGGTCTGATAATTTAATGAGATAACATGCCTAAAGAGTTTAGCTGTAGCTGGCACCCAGTGAACTGAGTAACATCACAGGCCACTATTAGTAGTAGTATTTGCATTGTCATTATTGGATTATCTGGAATCTTCACCTGCTCATGTAATTAAGACTGACCTACTTCAGACACCCTTTCTTGAGCAGAGACCCCTCATTTGGAATTATGCTAAAGACTGTGAAAGCCATGAGGTCATGGAAACTATACTGGGGAAATCTGATGTAAGAGCCCATACCTAAGGAGTACTGGAAATCGTGAACACATACAGTAAAGGATCAAAGTGATACAGATGCACAGGGTTACAGATGCTTGGGAAAAGACACGACCAGTGCAGATCAATAGATTTAGATATGCTCTCTGGCCTCTGTCCACAGAAACACCTTGAAGTCTGCCTGACCTGATCTGCACCTTCCAGACCACCTAGTCCCAGCAAGCACATCTACCAAGGGGTAGAATCTTAGCCTTGAGCACAGGCCTATGTCTCCAGAATGGGTCCAGTTCTTATTAGGTACTGGGCTTGTGACTTCTGTCTGGACCTGTATCTGCTTTCTGGCCTCCCTAGAGGTAGCCTGACTTCAACATGGTATCTGGTACTCATTGTCCTCCCCTGACCCATGGGAAAGAAAACCTTTCCTTTACTCCCACAGCAAACTGCACCCTCTTTTCATTCTCCCTTTAGGTGAAAGAATGCGATGGGGTCTGGGAATGAGCCAGAAAAAACACTTGATACTCAAAACTCCTAGGTATTATCAGTCAGAAGAGCAACAAATGTAATGTTCTCTGTGGCTGAGAAGAGTCAAGATTGTAGTTTGGAAAAATGACTTCAATATGAACTTCAATATTGAATATGTACTTCAATGTCGATTTCAGCACTCTTCAATATGGAATGAAGGTGAAGAGGTGGTAGAGAGGGTGACCAGAAAATGATATCAAACGCAGGGATGGTGGGAGAGAGTGTGATGTGCGTGACTGGGAAGGCAGCATGGTCCAGAATTCACTTTCAAAATAAGGATTCTACCAGAGCATTTATTTCTCCATTGATTATTGTCACAACGGCTACTTAAAGGAACTGTATCTGAGCGACTGGAAGGCTTCCTGTAGAAAGTAAAAGGATCTTTGAGATTTTATGGGGAAGTAGAATTCAAGAAGTAGAGGCAGACAGGGAAATGGGGGCTGTAGAAGTTTGAAGAGGTCTTCTATGGGACAAAATCTTCAGGGAACCAAGTCAGGCTGGTTATTATACTTTGCCTGAAGTATGGAACACAAGGCTGAAAGCAGGATGGGTTGGAGGATAATATAAGCAAAAGAGGGCAACTGTAAGGGATATAGTACCATTATCAAATAAATATGAATTCAGCTTCTTGTGCAGTGGTGGCTTCTTCTTGATAACTGGTTATTGGAAAACAATGCCAAAACAAAACAGCCCCAAACCTTTATTCTTTCTAAGTGCCATTTGTGGCTATGGCACTCTCCAGCCTAAGTTCAGTTCTCTTCCTCTCCTTCTCTTGCCCCTCCTAAGTATGACAGTAATTCCTTTTCCAACATTCCCCCAACAGGAGGACATCAGACAAGAATGACCAGAGTCACAGAGGAAAGGGCTGTGGTGTGGTCACGTCACGTTGGTTCAGGACCTTGGAGAGTGGCATCAGCCTGAGCGTTCCCTGTCCCTTTCACTGTGTTCCCTTGCCAACAGTGGGGGTGCTTCTAAAGATTCTATGTCAAGCATCATAATAAGTCCACAATAACAGAGGTCAGTGGCACAAGGATTGCCTTGTTTTATCATAAAGGAGGGAGGTTGTTGAGGCAACATTGGAAACCAGGAATAAGTTACCAGGGGTTTGTGGAAAGTAGTGGCACCAAAATGGACAGACTGGTAAGTCATTTAAAGAATGCCAAAGACATCTACCACTCAATAGCAGATGCTTGGAAGGATTCAGGATCTTTAGAAAAAAAATAGACCAAGAATTGTCTGCAATCTGCCAACAATGAATATGAGACATATGGGACATTATTTTGCTCAATATGGAATAAGTGATGTCTGAAATTCTGAGGCATCCCTTTGAGAGAGGGAATGTGCTGTAGGTCCAAAGCAGCAGGGGCTAGAAGGCTGGTTGATGCCTGTCCCACCACCAGCTCGGGCATCCTTTGAGGCTCCTCTCCTCTAAGTGTAGGGTATCTCTCTGGGGCAAGGAGGAGAGGGTATTAAAGCTCAGGGAAATCATGTTCATTTACTTTTTCTAACAGCCATGTGAGCACAACCTTATCAGAGAAAATTTTATACCATCTTTGAAATCAGTTTTAAATGAACCCCAATAGCAAATTACTAAGGATGGGAGGTCACAGATCTTCAGATACAGACCGAACTGAATTGAATCCTGGATTTTGGCAGAACCCATCAAAGCGTCAGCATACTCACTGGTAAAATCTGCATAATGATCACAGAAACCCATAGGAGTGCTGTAATGGATTACCAATTGAGCAATGTAAGTAAAGGGTCAGAACAGTGCCTGTCACATCTGCCAATAGAGAAGTCTTCAGGAGAATGGTTTCTCTATTGGCAGATGTAATTTTTAACTCATTGTTCTATGATAATGATGAATGTGAAGACAATGACACAGGCACTGCCCTTGTGGAACTTCTTTTCTTTTTGTTTCATTTTGTTTCTTTTTTTTTTTTTTTTTTGACAGAGTCTCACTCTGTCACCAGGCTTGAGTGCAGTGGCATGAGCTTGGCTCACTGCAACCTCCACCTTCTGGGTTCAAGCAATTCTCCTGCCTCAGCCTCCCGAGTAGCTGGGACTACAGGCACCTACCACCACACCTAGCTATTTTTTTTTTTTTTTGTATTTTTAGTAGAGACAGGGTTTCACCATGTTGGCCAGGATGGTCTTGATATCTTGATCTCGCGATCCACCTGCCTTGGTCTCCCAAAGTACTTGGATTATAGGCGTGAGCTACTGCACCTGGCTGAGCTTATTTTCTAGTGGAAGAGTCAGATAACATTTCAATAAGTAGATAAAGGCATAGTATCAGCAGTAATAGGGCTCTGATGATACACAGAGAAGGAGGAGGGGAGACAGTGTGCTCGAATGGTGAGAGGAGCTCTCTCAGAGTGGATGCCATCTGGACAGAGACCTGAGTGTGATGAGACAGAAGCCATGCAAATATCTGGAGGGAGTGTTCCCCAGCCCAAAGAACTGGTATGTGCAAAGGCCCTGAGTTGGGAATGTATTTGGCTCCTTCTTTGAGGAAGATCGAGGAAGCAGCATGATTGCAATATAATAATTAAGAAGGAGAGGGGTCATAATAAAGATTATAAAGGTAGTGGGGGAGGCAGACTCATAAGTCCTGGTTTCAGCCTGCCAGGAATTTTACTGTAAATGAGGTTTTACTGTAAGGAGGCTCTGAGCAGAGAAATGGCTTAGACTTATGCTGCCTTGTGGAGGGCAGGCCAGAAGAAGATAAAGGTGGAGGAAGGCAGACCATCAGGAGGCCACAGCAGCCATCTAGTGGAGAGGTGATGGAGTCTTGGGCCAGAGTGACATCAGCAGAGGAGATGAGAAAAGGCAGATTCTGAATACTTTTTAACATCTCTGAACAGAACAGTCTTTTTACAGACATTATGTCACTATTTTTTCTCCACACCTCTGTGAGGCATTATTATTTCTCAATAGGGAAACTAAGGCCCAGAGTGGCAGAATGTCTTGTATGTGGTCACAGAGTCATTAGCCGAGGCACACTTGCCACACTGCTGTGCACGCCCAGCACCAGTGTCCTTGCCTTCTAGGTGACCAAAAGGGCTCCCTGTCCCATTGCCTTCCTGTGGCCATGGCTCTGACTTGATGGAACTTGTTCATGTCACTGCCTAAGTGACCAGCTTTGGGTCCTTTCCCTGGAGCAGATTTCTACTTGACCTTGAATTGTCTTTGGCCAATAAAAGAGAAATTGAACTCTTGGATACTAGGTGCATCTGAAAGAGCAGTGGAGGTCACAATGGAAATTTGTATTTTCTTTTATTAATAAATCCTGCAGGCAAAGTACAGTCTTAGGTATTTTTGTGGATTACTTAATGGAATCCTATCTTTCCAACATTCTTTGAAGTAGAAACTATTGTCTGTAGTTTATCTATGAGAAAACTCTAGCTCAGAGTGTAAAGAAACTTGCCCAACTCATGCCCTGGTGAGTGGTGGAACTGAGACTTTAGTGCAGGGCTGGCAGGTTCCAGATCTCCTCCTTAAAAACTCTTCCACCTGGGGTAGAGGCACCTAATGGCATACAGCACAGCTGTGATGAAAAGCATTTTCTGGGGGTTGCGGGAGACTGCACTGAGGCAGGAAGAAGCTCCTGTCCCTGAGCCATCTCAGCAGCTTCCCTGAGGAAACAAAACAGCCATGATTCCAGACTTGCTAAGCGAGTCTGCACGTGTTGCTCATTAGGGTCTTGGAAACATTGGGCCTGCACTCAGGCAATTCTCCTAATCATAACAGTTGGTAATAAGAAGAAATGATTAGTCAAAACAAGGAGGGACCCTGCTGAGAGGGATTTCAGGAGCATCAAAGAGCCTTGCGTTATACATTTCACCAAAACCAGTGTTTGTAGAAAGAATTTCTTGTTTCTCCTGCTTCGGTGGAGCCAATTGTCTGGGAGAAAGGAAGTAGATTAAACATTATGGGAAAAGAGACAGCCCCTCTACCTAGCCTGAGCTCAAGTCTGAAAGTTGAGGTTTCCTTGGGGCTGCAGAAGTCCTTAAATGACGGCTGAGGCCCCTGCACTCTCAGAGGCAGTACACCTCAGTAGGGAGCTATTTATGACCAGTCTCAGGTCACTGTCTGTGTGGGGGAGGGATAGAAGTTTGAATTTTCCAGGTGTGGCCCAAGGTGAAGCCAAAGAGAGGAAAGCTACAATGCCCACCCCTAAAGGTCTCCTAGAAACACTCCAAGTCAAGAACTATAGGTCACGTCATCTTAAAGACATGGCCCTCAAGACCCCTTTCCTACCCCTGAAATGCAGCTTCAGAAGTCTTCTAAAGTGAGGAAAGACACACTGGACTCAGAGAGAAACTGGGGCTGAGACTTAGCCTTGCCAAAGTGTGACCTCAAGCGGTCACTTACCTTCTTGACAGATCAATCCATCTGTGTTTAGTGAGACCATCCTGTGTGCTGTGCTGTGCTATGTGGGGTTACGAAAAGTTCACTGACGTCTACCCCAAGAAGCTAAAGGTCAGCAAGGGAGACAGGCACCTGCACAACAGCCACACAAACCACTGGCTGACCAAGCTTGTGGAGATCTATCCCCCAGAGCCTGGGAATAGCCAGGCATTGTGCTATGGGAGCTTGGAGGGAACACTGCCCTCTTTATGGGAGGATCAAGTGGCAGAACATAGGTTAAAGCATTCCATGATCCTTAGTGTGCTTTATATGCATAAGGGACTGCCTGGTATAGTTACCTGAGAGTCTCTTTCCATCTCTTCACCTTCTAGAAGGGAAAGAGGGACCAAGTGCATATCTGTACAATGAAAAGAAAAACAGACTTTGTGCAGAACACTTGATCTGAAGGCCCTCTGAAGCAGGAAAAACATCTCCCTGCCTAGAGCCCCTGAGACCCCAAGCACAACTCCTGTATAGGTTCTCCCAGGCTTTCAGGTAGGGTCTTTGCCCCAGGCCCTGCTCACAGTACCTCTGACCTAGTCAGTCTCAGAGGAAGAATCCCCAGAGCGCTTCCTGCTGAGAGATCACTATACTAGGCCACAACCCGCCAGGACAGGCTCCAAGGCATTTGCTGTCACTAGAGGCAACAGTTCAAGCAAGCTGGTCAGAGTCTTCCTGAAGTGAAAAGGCATTGGAACCCACTTCAGTCTTTGGCACAACAGGGGATTAGGTCTTACCAGACAGAACTTCTACAGAGTTCCTTGTTATGGACATTATTTCTAACTGAAGCACTCAGGCCCTGAACCACCCAAAACTGCTCGTGTGATTTAGCATAACCAGATGCAGCCCAGAACTTGTAATTCTCTCCATGCAGATGCAAGTGTGGAGACTCAGATCTGGACAGGAATTTGCATGCATCTGGAGATCTGGTTGGTAGCCCCTGAGCCAGAGTCCATCAGGCATGGAAGTCACATATGCTGGAATCCTTGCAGGTGAAGCATCTCAGCTCCCCGCAAGACCCTCTCAGGAGTGCAGAACCTGGCTAGTACCACACAACACATAGCCTACTGAACTTTTGGATACTAGGCACTGATGAAGGAAGGGTATAGGGCTTCCAAGGTGTCTTATACAAGAAGACCACTATCTGGACAAGACTAGAGGAGTCCCTGCTGCATGCAGGTAGGATGGGACCTCTGGGCTCCTGCATGATCAGAAGTCCTCTCTCCCCACCATTCCCAAGAGATAGGGATGCCGGTGGAAGAGTCCTGCATCTCCAGAGTCCATCAAAGATAACTAAGAGCCCCCTTCCTAGATGACAAAATTTATTTCAGTTGTCACAATTCTCCATCTTTTTCTAGAGACTGCAGATCAGACTGACATCAAGATAACAGCTGGGAGGTGACTGTGGGTTAAATATTCATGGATTATTCATTCTATTTTCCTTGGGAATACACAGAAGACTCTTCCAGGCACTGGCTTATGCAGCTGTAAAAGAGACATGTGCTACCTCTCTCCAGGTATCCAGAAAAGGCCCTGGTTCCTAAGACAATTCAAGGTCAAGAGAACAAAAAATAAATTGAAAAAGGTAAGTATACTCTCCAGGGTGTTAGAGGTAACCAAGAGCAAGTCCTGATTCTGACATTTCATAGACACACTAATTCATGGCATGCAAAGAAACCCTGGTGGTGAGTGTGTCTCTGGTGACAAACACCCTCCTTCCCTGATGGCCAGCCCCCATTAGATGCTTGCAGCGGAAGAAAGCTCACTACTCCCATCATTTAGAGTGTCATATATTAATAATCATAACCTGTTTGAAAATATAATGAAAAAGTATTCACAACAGCCAAAAAACCATAAAATATCTAGGATTAAATCTCAGAAGACCTCTATGAAGATGACTACAAAACTTTACTGAAGAACTTAAAAGAATGCCACATGCCTGGATGGAATAAATATCATAAATAAGAGAATCATCCCTAAAGTAATCAATATATTCAATGCAATTACAACCCCAATTAAACAGGATTGTTCAATAAAATTCGTCAAACTGGTTGCAAGATTCATTGTGAAGAAAAAAATGTTTAAGAATGGGCTAGCCAGTTTTGAAAATGAGTAATATATAGAGACTTAGTTCACCAGTCATTGAGACATACCAGAAAGCTACCATCTTTAGAACAGTTTAGAGTGGGCACCAGAACAGACAGAACCACCAATGGGAAAGAATAAAGACAAACATACATAAACATTTAGTATATGATAAAAGAAACATCTCACTAAAATGTGGACAATTCAGGTGGAACTCACGGGATGTTATTTTTAGTAAGATAAAAAAGAATACTTTTATCACATCCTATACAAAATAAAGTTCCAGATGGAATAAGGAATTAAACATAAACACTATACAGGGAGTTAAAAGAAAGTCTAAAAGACCAGACATGGTGGCTCACACCTGTAACTCCAGCACTTTGGGAAGCCCAGACAGGCGGATCACTTGAATCCAGGAGTTTGAGACCAACCTGGCCAACATGGGGAAACTCCACCTCTACTAAATATACAAAAAATAGCCAGGTGTGGTGGTGTGTACTTGTAGTCCCAGCTACTCAGGAGGCTGATGTGGGAGAAATGCTTGAACCCCAGAAGCAGAGGTTGCAGTGAGCCTAGATTACACAACTGCACTCCAGCCTGGGTGACAGAGCCAGACTCCATCTCAAAAAAAAAAAGTATAAGAGAGTGTTTTCATGCCTTAGAGTGGGAAAGACATATATAAAATGTAGTCAAAAGCTCAAGACAACAACCTCCAAACAGAAAGAAAAAGATGGTCAGATTTGAGTTCGAAAATTTTAAAACCTCAATAAGATAAAACAAGTACCCATAGAGTTAAAAATCAGTGGAGGACTGGAGGGCGGGATGTCACATATAATTAATTGGCATCTAGAAATCGATTTTTAAATATAGAAAAGGGCAAGAGTTATAAACAGACAATTCCCTGAAGACAAAATAAATTGGTCAATAAACATATGAAAAATATATACTCATTTATAATCAGAGAAATACTAATCAAAATGACTAGGAGGTCAGCCAAATTGGCAAAAAATAAGTCTTGATAACATCATCGGGCCAGTGTGTGGAGAAGCCTGATGTGCACTGCTGTGAGGAGTGTAGACTGGCCAAGGCCTCTGGGAAAGCACTTTGTAATATCGATTGGTTCTAAGTGCATGCACCCAGTAGCCCAGCAATTCTATTTCTGGGTTAATTTCCTCCACAAATATAGGGATATGCATTTTTGTGGCAGTACTGTTGTTTATATTAATGAAACTGAATGGGCCTGAATGCCCACCCACAGGGAACTGTATACTCCATAGAGGTTGCTAGGGCCTCCCTGTCCAAATCTGTTCTCTTCTCAAGTCACACAGAGGACACCTTTTCCAGCCACCTTGCATGGAAAGCACACAACTAGTTCTAATCAACAAAATGAGATCCTTCCCATCTTACCTGGGGTTCTACCATTAATTTGGTGTCAGATCATATGAGAGGCAATAATCCTCCTCCTTCCTAAGGGAAGAAGACTAGCACTGAGGGTGAAGAGCTGGAGACCTGAATCTAGTCAGGCCTAGAAGGAAATATGGGCTTTGCTGCTCACTAAAGTGTGAACTTGGGCAAGTCATTTAGCCCTTCTGGGCCTCAATTCCCTCATCTATAAATTAGAACATCTATAAATTAGTTGTAGTCCCTGTCTTATACTCTGCAAGTTTAATTGAGAAAAACCAGATCAGAGGCTTAGCACAGGACCTAAACTGTAGCAACACTTTAACAAATGTCAGTTATCACTGTTAGGGGTATGCATGTGTGTTCTTGCTTCAATCAGCTATCACTGCATATTGGAGCGCCATGGCACATAGCATGGTAATGGTGTCCGGTCTCTGTCTCTGAAGCCTTGGTGCTTCATAGCCTGACCTGTGCAGAGGGGTGTGGGATGGGCATGGCTAACATCACAGAGCCTCATGAAGACCCTGTCCCTGGGTATGGGCACAAAGCCTGCCTTTCACTTACAGTGAGAGTCAGTTCTCACCTGGTGCTCAGTTCCTCTTTGCTGGCTGGTAGATGACAATCTCTTGTGAGAATTGAGTGGCTCTCCTCCATTGCTCACTGAGTACTGGTGGGGCATGGCAGTGACCAAGGCTTTCCACTGACTATTGACCCCAACCCATCTCGGCCCCCACCTTCTGGGCACATCTGGCCCAGAAGAGCCAGCCTACACTCGGCTTTATCTCACTACACAGCTGCCATGCAGGTACACTTCAACCTGCATCACTCAGCATCCTTTGTCACCATTTCCAAGGTAAGAAGAGCTCTAAAATGACTCAGAGAAGCTGCTTAAAAGGCCATCTTGGGCATCTCCTGAAAGTCTAAGCTATAGCCAAGGAGGGGCCAGCACACCATTCCTATTAGTACTATTATCACAACCTACTAGTCTCCAGAATGGGGAGTGGGGACAGATTGACCTTTGTGTTCAACTGGCCTCTAGTTCTCTATTCTTCACTCTCCTGAAGACAAGTCACCCTTCTTGATGTGGCTTCAGAGCCAGAGAACTATTGAAATGGGTGGAGGTAGTCTCTGGCACAGGGTGGAGGAACTCATAGGCCTTCTGTAGTTTGACTTCAGACTGCAGTTGCTCTATGTCTTCAAAATCATCAGTGATTATTTTTACATTGAAAAGTCCAGATTTTAAGCCCACAGCCAATCCCATATCATAGCAGTTCTCAGGTGTCTGGCTCAGACTTGGCATTTTCCAGCCAATTGTGGGGAAAGCATCTCAGAAAAAAACAGACACACAGTTTCAAAATAAATCACTACAAAATGCTGGCTTTCACAACCTATGGCAAACACAATCCAGAAAGCATGGACTTGCTCAAACTGACTATAAGACCCATTGCTGTCCACTTTGCATGCTTCCTACATTATTCAGAAACCATCTTGGCAGGTATCACCAGCACCTTTTTGTGTACTTTCAGTTATAGAGAGATCACTAATTAGCCAGGCAGCCTCTGTTCTTTCTGGATATCATTCAGAATCTGCCTTTATGCCAAGTGGAAAGTGGCTTCCCTCTAAATCTCTGATGAGAGACAAAGACGCTGGGATCCCTGGTCTTTATCAAACCCAAGTGAAGCTATCAGTGAGGTGTGGAGGTTTCTGGTTGTAGCATCCACATGACAGCCACATGTATTACCAAACCAGGGAATCTGAAAAGCCACAGTACTGGTTTGAGAAAAATTGGTTGGTACCAGATTTCCAATATGGCAGCTGGAGACTTGGAGAATGAAGGAGAGTATAGATGGTCTCCAAGAAATGTCAGGAAATACACTGGTCCATGAGAGGTTAGAAGGCTGCAAACTCAGATGTGGGGACAGACTTTGAGAAACATATTGATGAAAGGTGGATATACAGCCAGGGCCCCACCCAGTGCAATGGGATTCAGGGTAGATTCTGAAACTGGCTTTGAGACAGGATCATTGGTCAGCAAGGGGGGGTGCAGTGGATCAATACAGGTTCCAGGACTGACTGGCAGTGGTGACTCTGAAAAGTGACAGCCAAGAGGACACTGGCAAGAGATCAAGGAGTGAGCTACAGCTCAGATCCCACTGTGAAATTTGGGCTTGGTCTCTGGTCAAATTAAATCAGGACCTGGCGCCATTAGCATGAATGGGAGAGGGAAGACAGAGGGGACCAAAAGGCCATCTGGGGACCACCTGTGAGAAGCTAGGGACCAAGATGATAGCACAGGTTGTACACAGATTTGTAATCACATTGAGATGGGGTCGAGACAGAGGAGTGATGGAGTCAGAATTTACCCAATGTAGGACGGCTCTCCAGGAGAATTTGATCTAATAGCCTTTTCATTATACTTTTAATGTTTTCTTATTTTTATTTGCATAACTTAGAGACTCAAAACCCACTTCTTAAACATTATTCATAAAAACCCAAACAAAGACATTGAGCACTTGCATGTGTCTAACACTGAGTTAGGTATTTTACATGAAATTCACAATGAACACAATGATAAAAAATATCCTCATTTTGGGGCACACAAGATAGAGATTCAGAGAAGTTAGGAAGCCTACCCAAGGCCTCACTGTGAGGAAGGAGTGGAGCTGAGAGTCAACTCTGGTTTACCTGATTCCATAGTAGGGCTCTTACCACTTGACTGCATTGGACACACCTGCTCTGTAAGGTCATGAAGTATTATTACAAAAAAAATCAAATCTGATGTCAAAGAGCTTCCATTCCAGTGAAAGGTAAGATTCTGGTACCAGAACAGTTCTGAATAGCAGAGAATATTCAGGGTGTGCAAATCAAGGCCTCCTCCTGCCTAGAGAGGAGATCAGAGGGTGGTAGAGGACGGAGGAGGCACTCCTGTCTTCACCTTTGAGGTGAACAGTTGGAGCAGAGAATATTTATGAACCTAAGCTGTGGCAACCATTAAGTTCCAGTATCCATTCTAGGCCAGTTCTTCCTCAGACCAGAACCTATAAGTTTGACATCAGGACCATTGCCTGAGACCACAAAGGATTATTCATGGCAACGGAGGACACTAAAATCATGGAAAGGACAGTATGTTTTGATTTTTAAAACAGAGGAGAGAGTAGATGACATGGATGCATTCCACCTTCATCCCCTCCTTCTGGAACTCCATTCACAAATAGATCGGTGCTTTGTGAGCTTCAAGGAAAGACTGACAAGACCTTGTGTGTGTTCCCTAAGTGTAAGTCAGGCCAGCCAACATTCCTTCTTTCTCTACAAATGTATTAGCCTGCAAAGAAGAGTATAGAACATAGAGTAAACCTAGATTTCTACCATAGCAGCTTCTAAAAGTATACAAATACTTGTTCATCGAAGGAAGAAATGTTAACTAAATAACAGTGCCAGTGCTTGCATTTTAGCTGCTTTGAAAATAACATCAAAGTAGGGTAGACAACTCTGATAACAGTAATAAAATCAAATAACTTTTATTGAATGCTTCCTGTATGCCAAATATTTCTAAATGGTACATTGCATTTAATTCCTGTAACAGCACAGTGAGGCAGACTCCAATATTGTCCCCATTTTACGGATTAGGAAATGGAGACAGAAAAGTTTTGCCACTTGTCCCACATCGCTGTTAGGTAGTAGAGCAGGACTTGAACCTGGGCACAGGCTCCAGAACCCACATTCTTAGCAATTATACTAACACTGCTCATTGGAAACATTATGAGAGTCGGTATTTAAAATGATCTGCATATGTAAGCACCCTGTGCCTAAATCCACAAAGCAAGATGTCTGAAATCATACTGAGAATCGCACAATAGGGGAGACACAAACGGACAGCATTTCCTGAGGGGACAAACAAAAGCACTGGCTGTGTGGTGGCTGCCGTGTCTGGGGGGAGCTCAGAGTTTCAGTGACTGCAACCAAAGTGAGCCATCAACAGCATCCCAATCACAAGGAAAATCCATTAATTTTCTACTGAACCTTGCTCTGGGGTGAGGATCACAAGTTTCATTCCGGCTGCCATATTTTAAGAGTTTTATCAATACATGTAAGAGATTCAGAATGGGCCAGCCAGGAGCCAGGATAACTGGCAGAGGGTCAGGGGCGTGGGTCAATACATTTGATGAATAGATGAAGCAACAAGTGTTTAGCCTCAAGGAGATGATTAAGGTAAGATGAGAACATTGTCCTCAAGCATTAAAATCACTGGCCTGCTGAGCACTGGTCCTCAATGACCAATCAATGGCAAGGAGTGAGGAAGGAGTGCCCAATCTGAAGTCCAGAGGCCTCTCCCCAGCGATGGGTTACTGCTGCTGGCGATGGAGCGATGCTGCCCTGCACAGACATGAGCTGTCATCACAAATGCTCAGAAAAATGAAAGTGGCACGACCATCTCTGCCTCTTGGGTTTATTGGAGGGAGAAGGCTAACGGAGGATTTGGGGTGGCAGTGCTCAGAGTGTCAACAATCTGTGACTCCAAAGGCACTTATGAAATGCTGAAACAGACATGTTAGCTTGTGTGCCTGGATTTTTGCTTAAAACTTAGAGCTATATGACTCCTCAAAAAGGTTTTACTCATTTGGGTCAAACAACTGTGAAAAGAAATTGTAGATACAGAAGTATGAAAGCACATTTACACAGGCAATGCTGACCCTTCCTGATGTGGCAGTGACAGTTATAAATAGCTTCCAGCTTGCAGTCACACTCCCTCCTTTCACATCCAGATGTATAAACCACCTACCAGCCAGCATGGGGTTGGGGGCTCAAATCTAGGCTTTCCCTTTGATTCATATTGACCTTTGTCAAAGATCAATAAGAAAAACACATACACACCGCAAAATATGCCAAAAAAATACAATAGAGGAAAACACACACACACACACACACACACACACACACACACACACACACAAAACCACAGACTACCTCCCCTTCAAAAACAGCAATGCATTTTTTATGGGCAACACGGATTGCATATCAGTAATATCAAACAGTCTCTTTACCTATTGAACAGAATACACATGGTAACTTAGAGTAAAGCCCTGGTCAGCGATGGCTGAAGCTCAGCTGGAGCAAAGCAGCCTTCTTTTACCATTTTGCAAGCCCTAGATTAACCCAAGTAAACACTTGTAAAACGGTCGATTTTTGAAATGTATTTAAAATCACTCTCATTGTGTAGACATGTAGACAAGCAAGCAGTCCCCAATTTACGACATAGTTCCTGCCCCATGTGGAGAGCTTGTTGCCCTATTGGTCTGAAAAACTCCTCCCTGCAGCAGCCTCAGAGGTTTCCTCTCGGCCTGATTTCCTCCCAGCTGAGCTGGGGACACAGGCTAGGGGATAAAGCCCACTACCCATTTACACTGGCTACCCTCTGGATCCTCCATCCAAACTCAGGCAAACGGTGCCCACCAGTCACTTTCATTCTGTTTCAGTTTCTCCTTCAGCCCTCCCTGAGCTTACTCCAGCCACATCGTGCTTCCTGGTTTCCATTCACTTCTCTCCCCATCACTGCTCCCAGCCCCAGTTAACAATGTCCTTTGCAGGTCTTCACACTGCTCTGACAACTCAAGAGTGGAAATGAAATAGAAACTGAGCCACAGCAAGTGGGGAAGTAGTGAAACCCTCCCTTGAACCACTCGAATCAACACAGATGCACTGCTCACACATTCACACTCACTTCACACCCCACCCCACCCCACCCCTCTTCTCTCTCTCTCACACACACATACATATTCACAACCCCCCTCCCTGCAGCCTTCTAGCCTGGCACATAGGACATTGATGGGGAGGGGAAGGCCCTGTGGTTCCAGTCTGTGATAATTCACCCAATAGCCTTTCTCCCCAGAAGTCATAAAACAGAGGACAGAGGAACACGATCTAACTCTAAAGTAACGTTCTCAGACTCTCACAGCTGTCAGAGTTACTTGGATGGCTTTTTAAACTACGATCACTCAGCTCTACCTCAGAGTTTCTCATTCAGTGGCTCTGGGGTGGGGCTGAGAATTTTTATTTTTAGTAAGTTCCTAGGTGACATGGAGGCTGCTGGTCCAGGGACTGCATTTTAAAAACACTGACCTAAAGGAAACCATCAATGGGGATCTTGTTGAGTATGACCCAGCAGATCCTGGGTCTGAGACCAGAGAGCTCATGAGCTGATGTCCTTACAGACCCACAATGCTTTGATGGCCACCAGACCTGGCTTCAGAAGCCACCTGCAGAGGACATCCTTCATCCCAAGGCCATTTCCACCCTCTAAGCCCTGTGCACTCTTCTCGATCCACCCAGCTTCCTTAGTAAGACCAGGGTTTCATCCCTGGGAATGTCCCACTCCTGGGCAGTCCATTCAAGGGATATGATCCTTGTCCCACAGGGACACTGCCGCCCCCACCCCACCACCGCCCTGTGACGGTTGGGATAAAAGAGGGAAACAACTGCCAGCTCTTAAAAAACGAAACATGAGTTTAAAGGAGAGAAATCAGACTATGCAGGAATGGCAGAGGGAAAAGCAGATTCTTACCCTTCTCTATTCAAAGTGGTTTCACAAGTGAGAATAACAGCCAATCACCATCATTGCCACGAGGGTTTGCAACATCATTCTCAGAGCTCCCAAATTTTAGCTGTCACTGAGGTCATGGCATTGGAGTCAGACAAACCTGAGTTTTCATCCCAGAGTTTCACTTGCTTTCCATCATTTAATTCTCACAACCTCCTAATTTGAGTCCCGACATACCCAGTTTTATCTGGGAGGAAGCTTGTGTTCCAAAAGGCCAAGTAACTTGCCCCAGTTCTCACTGTCAGGAGCCAAACTCAAAGCCCCTGCCCCTATCACTCAGCTTCCCTGCCTCTCAGTGTCAGCCAGGAGGAGGACAGGGATGGCCTCCAGGGGAACCCCGACAGCCTGGCAGGCACTGTGCCCCTCATCTGAGGGGTCGGCAGGTGAGCTCAGGGGACACAATGATCTCTGGAACCCCTTTTTCATTCTATTTCTATGATCAAAACTGCAGAGGAGGTCCATTGCATGTGAAGAAGAAATAAAAGAAACAAGGCAAGCACTAGCTTGCCTCTGTGATCCATCAAAATGTCTTCCACGTGAGTGACAGAAAAGGGGTTTTTGTGGTCAGCAATGTAACAAAGTAATTATTTTCACACCAGTATTTCTGTATAGTTTTTCACAGAAGGCAATTTTA